CTCCCCCTCCCCCTCCCTTTCCCTCTTCTCCACCCCCCCCTGCTATCCGGTGCTGATTTGATAACTGCCAGCCCTGGATACAAGCCATTTCTGAATCGTATAAAGCCCCAGCTGCAGAAATTGAGCGAGGTCACAGAGGAGCAGATTCAGCCCGAATCTTTCCAGCCTTTGAGCAGGCTGAGTATATCAAAGACAGTGGAGCCTCCTAGCCCTTGGACAGAGGACAATAGAAATACTGCAAGTCATATTAACAGTATCCAAAATGATGGCAGTGGGATTACCAGCAGGCAGGAAGAAGATGGTCAAGGAGAAGAGGAAGAGGAGCAACTTGAGGATGAAGGGAGTTACGAGTGTTCTCTGTCATGAATTGGTTATCTTCGGACAGCTCCATTCCAAACTTTAGAAATGACAAATGGATCACTGGTGCCTTGTGTTAGTGTTGTGCACATGCCTTACTGCGTACTAGAGAAAAATGTGTCTCACGTAGAAATATAAAACATCAATTTTGATGTTTCATGCTCTCCAAAAGTAAAAGCAATAGCTTGGAGTCACTTCTGGAGTTTGCTGACATGTACAGTCCCAGTCCAGAGATCACTTCTGTGAATGAGATTTTTCATCCCCTGTGCTCCCTGGTATAATTGAATGTATAAGCTGCAAAATTGTTAGAAAAATGAATTCATGATAGTGAGGATGACTTATGGAAAAATATGTTTGTGAAACAGTGATATTTTATTGCTGCATTTGTTGGTATGTGACTGCATTCCACTAATGCCTTTGCAAGAGGCTTTGTTCTTTCATGTGGCTAGATAATGCTTCCATTCTGGCATGACTGAGGGAGTCTCAAAGTTTCTGTCGGGACAGAGCAGTGTCCCAAATTCCAGTTCATTTTTGGTCAGTCCAGAGAGTTCAAAGAACACAGGCTGCATATGACAGAAGTGAAAAAGCGAAATAGAGGCAATTTATTCACTACTAGTGTCTTGAGTGATGGAATGGCTGCGCGTTTGGAAGCATTGTAATATTTTTAACATCTGAATAATTTGACTTTTTAAGGAGATTTGAATTTTGCATCTAACTACAAGTTAATCTGTTATGATTTTTCTGTGCTCACGGTGGCTTAGAAATTATTTTAGAACTGAGCCATAATGTAATGCAGAGACCTGGAAAATACATTTACCATGACTTGTTTTTCTATTACTGTTTTGGCATTGAGTTTTTAAACATTCTTATGTCTGTAAGCATAACTAAAGCCAGTGACTATTCCATAGGAAAGTTGCAAAATACAGATCACTTGTAAACAGTCAAGAGGAAAGCATAGAGTTTAATCTAAAAGAAGTGTTTAAGTGCTATAGTAATTTGAAAGAGGTAAGTGTTCATTTTCCATATCAGTGGTGTCTCTTCTGCAGGCCCTGAATGCTACCCCGTACAACTTGAAGTGAGAAATGAAATATTTTTAAAATATTCTTCATGATTTTTTAAGATAATTAATTTCCATTTCATTTGGATTGAAAGCATTACTACAGGCTCCAGCTACTAAGGTGTACCTGTATACCCTTTCCACTGGGTTGATCTTAAGCTGTTAATAGGGTTGTTGGGGACATAACAAGGGTGCATACAGCCTCTTGGATTGCATTCCCTGGAATTAAGGTGCTCTTAGATCCAAGAATTGGTGCTTACTGTGATAGAGTTGTAAAGAAGGAATAAGCTGCCATTAAAGCCACATCTATCCCAACAACCTGCTATGGTTTCTTCCTGTTGGTACTTGGGAGGATAAGTAAATTGTGCTTTTCACAATATTATTCATGAAAAACAAGCTCCTGGTATCTACAGTCCCCCTAACAAAGGTTCAACCTTGCACTTGTCCTTAGTCCAGTTGATGATCCTCCTGCATGTGGATACGGGAGAGATGAGCAGAGTCCTTTTGAGGTTGGCCTGATTCCAGGATGAAGCACCCTAGTTACATTTGTTCAGAACCAGATTTGCACTGGATTCAATAATCCAGTAGCTGATCTACATGGGTCTTGCTTGTCAATAATTCTTGCTTGGGCTGTACCATTTTTGACCTACAATACTACACATGCTTCAGGGTCTCTAACCAATGGCTGTTCCTAGGCTCTTTGGACTTGAAAAGTAGGATGTTCCTGTACAGATTAAAAATATGCATTCCATACTAAGCAAACAAATTTCACCATTAGGAGACTTCTAAACATGGTGTGTTTCCATATGGATTAAACCATCATCTAGCCAAAATCAAAGTCAAAACAAAATCTTTTATACAATAGGTAATAGTTTTCTAAAATAGCCCTCCTTGGGTCTTTGAGTTGGCCACTGGTAGCGAGGGCATATACAAATCATGCATTCTTAATGCTTATGAACTTGTTTCGCCAATTACTGAATATTTCATTCTCTGATTGCTTGTCTTCAGAAAAATTGATCACTGTTTATATATGGTGTAAGGCAGATGCACAACATTTGTACGAGACTCTTGTGTTCAAGTTGATTTTAAAACCTGCTGTGTTGGTGCTTTAGGAATTTTTGTATTGACCTTTTTTTTTCCTAAACAAAAAGTGCATTTCAAATTCAGTGTAATGTGTAATCATTAACTTCACTGCTCTTGCGGAAGCTGTTTATATTGTACAGTGTTCAGGCAGAACTCCTTGTTTATGCATGTGTTGCATGAGTTCACAGTAGCTGTCACACATTAGAAACTGTGATTTTGATTGAATCTGAATTTGGTACCTTGTAAGATCTTTTGTGTGATTTGATTGTAAAATAAATACCATTGCTTTGTAGAGAGGGCTGGAAATGACCCTTTTTATGAAAATTATGCATTATCAGTCAGACTATTTTAACAGGTTTGAATTTAGAAATGCTTTTATTTATTCCTTTTCAAGAAAGAACTTGAGCTTTTGTTCTAAATGCAAATGGTATTTTTAATGTAAATACAATAAAGCTAAAATCATGTTTATACTTGCTAGTTAGGACCTAGCAAGATGTACATTAAAAATGAATGGCAACAAGCAGCATTTTAAAGCTTTTAATAAAAGCTGTCATAACTAAAGCTTGATTTAAAAATTTGATCCATTTTCCAGGGAACAGACTCGCACACTGATTAATTTCCTGCTCTGAGTTTGAACGGAGTGCTGCAGTGTATGATCTCATGTAGTGTACTGTCTTTGTAGCTGTTTCCTTTCATTTTAATTCAGTTATAATTAAAAGTACCTGAAGCAGTATTAAAAGACAAAGATAGCATATGTTTGTTACAGTGCAATTTGAACAAAAAATGCAAAAGTTGCTTATTTTATACAACAGAAAATTGAGTAGTCTATTTTTATAGCTAAGCTGAATTTAATTGAATTTTTAATGTGGACCAAATTAGTAACCTCGCCCTCAAACAGTAACTAGTATACTAATTGTAACTGTATTGAACACAAGCGTCTTTTATGCCTATGTTCACAAGTCAAAAGAGAATTATTTAAACGGTAACATCTCCTTTAAAAGAGATTTTTTTAAAGAGCTTTATTTTGTTTAATGTGATCCCGGTTATTAGAATGCACAGAGTTGAGACTGAATTCATGTTGTACATGGACTGTACAGAAGAGCTCACTGTCTATTGCAGTATGGATATTAAACCGTGTGCATTGACTGGTGAATGAACCCAAGAATTTGCTCGGCAAACTGAAGCCAGATCCTTATCTAAATTTGAAGTGGATCGGACATGATTAGTACACACTACATTGTTAATTATACTTTGGACTATCTTGCCTGTTTTCTGAGCATTTTTTATGCACAGTAACACCTTGATATGTAATTGTAGCATTATGTTTAAAATTGCTTACATTTGAAAGTAATTTTTTGTATTCTTTCCACTAATGTACTCAATATTCAGAGTAAAGAATATATATTTACACAATTAGTTAACATGACCACAAAATAACTGCGTTAACGTCTGACAATACCACAAATCTAATTGGAAGCACAGTGCAAATCTAATTGGCAGAAATCCAAAGAACTTTTTATATTGAAACAGTAGTACCAGTGTTAAGAAATTTTCACCAAAGTTCTAAATGTTACAAATGTAATCTGAAACAATTTTTATACTTGAAATACCGGAATAAAAAAATCCAACAACAAAATACCCTCCTTCCTTTCATGATTTGACCTTGACACCTGTTAACACACAGACGAGATGGTTAACTATGACAGTTTGCCAGTTGAACGTATTCTGTCTTAACCTCATCAATGATTTAGCAACATGGGCATGAACTTAGGCTTTTTTGCAACAGTCATTGATGAGGTTTCAGTGTGCAGTGCTACTTTGTGGCAGTTCTCATCTGTAGTACTTCTGGAAATTACTTGCTATTCTTGTCACATGTACAAATTCACAGCAATAAACCGTTTTGATCATAGAAGTGTTCTTGTTTTAAGGTGATTCTGAAAGATATTTATTTAATCTCTCAGCAGTGTGTGTGGTTTTGCAGTAAAACATCAGCTTCACAATAGTCTACAAATTGTCTCAAACCCACATAGTTCATATTTTTAAGGAAATGTCAAAATCTGCAAAACCTTGAGCTGTGAAACAGAATTTTCACTGAAGTTTGGGGTGTGCAATGTTGATTTTAGATGATAAGTTAAGGTGATTATCATCTCATTGCAATGGTTCCCTTCTCTCTGGACATTAGGAACGGGAGGTTGCTAGCTAACCTCTTCTGCTATTTAGTGACCTTTGTGGTTGATCCATGACTTAACTCCATACACACAGCTGTTACCAATATCTGTGAATACCCTTGAAGGTCAGAAATCTCTTAATATGTATAGATTCCTCAATCAGTGAAAATTTATTTCTTTTTTATCTATCCCATCCCATTAAACTTTGAACAAGCTACCTCTTAACCTTCTACATTCCAGGAAATGCAACCAATTTGTATAATCTCTTCACAATTAAATATTTTGGAGTCCAGCTATCATTCAGGAGGCAAGTAACATTTATGCCACACAAATGTTAGGTAGTGGCTATCTCTTTTTAAAAGAAAAAGAACCTTTTCAAACTTGATAGCAATGACAACCCTCAATTCCCCACCATCATCATCCTTGGGATCATTCCTTGACCAAGATTCTAATTGGTTGAGGTGCATAAATACAAGGACTAAGAGCAGGCCAGAGTATGTGCAGTGATTAACTGTTCTCCTGAAATCACAAAACCTGTCCAACATTTACAAAATACGGCTTAGGAGTGCGATGGAATACTCTCCACTTGCTCGAACAAGTCGACTTACAGCCATGATCAAGAAGCAAAGTACCAAACAGAACAAACCAACACTGTTGGCTGGTACCCTACCTACCATTTGCACACTGTCTACAGTGTGTATCATCATAAGATAAACTGCAACACTTTCCATGCAAATGATCTCAGATTATTTTCTGTTTTGCAAGCTTGGATTTCAGTTATTTCTCTCATAATCCTGTGAATAAACGAGTAAATATTTAACCACTGAAATGTGTTGCACATGATGTTTCTGTTGTAACATTACTTATGTTAGATTTATGTTAAGTTTAACAATGTGGATCTGCATTTTGCAACTGCCGGAGGTGGTAGCCCAGTGGGGTTATGAGCTCTGGAGCAGCAGAGGCTGCCATGGAGCTCTGATTGAGCCCCTACAGCTATGCAAGGCCTTTAAATTGCTCACATTTTCCTTTACTTTCCTTTACTGTAAAGGAAATCAGGCCCATGAGGCCTGATTTCTTCTGTGTGAAAAGGTAGGTGTTCATTTGCCCACTTTTTCATGAACTGCACCATGTGGGTGCCTGGAAGAAATATAGGGAGGGTAGAGTTGGGGAGGGTGTGGTAGGGAAGGGGAGTGCTGAGGGTTAGTGAAGAGAGGAAGAAATGAGAGTGATAAAGGGTGAAAATGGGGCCACTGCCTCTTCCTGCCAAATTTTATAGAATCTCAAAGTCTGAGGCATGAAAATAGGAGTCATGCCAGAAAAGTGTTTGGAAAACACTGTTAATTCCAAAGTTACAATGGATCAAACTGTACTACTCATGAGGATGCAGTAATTGAAGTGGCAAGTATGGAACCAACATGAAGTTGGGGCTAACTGCCTGCCAATTCCAAAGGAATTAGACTTGGAGAAATATTGCCCCTGTTTTTGAGTTTTGCCCTGCTCTCAATTTGCAAATACAATTACAAGGAGATCCACAATGGAAAGCATCTTTTCAAAGTTAACACTGATTTTTTTTTACATGAAACCTTGGTAAATCTCACCAAATGGTAGAATCTGACTTTTAAATGTGATTCATTGAATGTTTTAAACATTTACTCTTTAAAATAATTTACTATATTAAAATGTATTTTAAATTTATAATATTTAAAATTTTGTATAACTATTAAATGGTTTTAGTTTCTTTTACAGCAGCAGCCTGTTTTATGGAATTTTCATGATGCATTGAATAAACCATATAACTGTTTCATGTGGGTATGGAAGGTACAATTTGTAATTAATGAGTGCCACCTTGTGGATGTGTTAAAGACTTGGACTTCATAGTCACCTTAATTTATTTATGGTTATCAAATTTTACGTTTTAAAATTTATATATTTTACAGAGAATTTAACTGGCATTTTAATTGCGGTAAGCCAAAGCAATAATAGCTATATTTTCCATCAAATGTTAAATGGAGCCTTATTTGCAGATCCTCATAAAGGAGAATTACTATATCCACATATGAAAACTTTTTTAAATTTCACCTGCACCAGTCTAGATTTTAATTTCTGTCTGGGCACAAGAGTTCTCTATTCCTTTTCTTGTGCAGTAGCTGAATCATGGTCATAATGACCATTCAGCCCATTTGAAGTCTGTGCTCTGTCAAACAATTCTTCTCCATGGTCTGCAAATCTATTTAAATGAATTTTGTCTCCATTATTTTCTTGTTTCCACTAACCTTGTAGAGTTTTAAGTCATTATCACTCTCTGCGAAAACTGTTTTTACCCTCATTCTCCATGTATCTCTTGTCCAAACTCTCACTGTCACCTAGTCCTCTATAATCAAAAAAGGGAACAGCTTTTCACCTGTATCTAAACTTGTCATAATCTTCGCCAACTACCCCGTCCCCTGAAAACTACCATCAATGTCTCTTACTCAAACAGTAGTTTCTCCATTTTCAGTTAAATCCACTATCCCTATGCCACTTACTTTAGCACACTGAGATCAAAGATATCAAAGATATCCAGGCCAGGCGATTCATCCACCCCAAGTATGTAGCCAGTCTTTGCATCACATCCTCCCAATCAATTTTTACATGAACCATTATCTGATGCATTCTGATCTTTTCTGTGTGCCAAAATAAATCATGTCCCAGCTTTTGCACTGGCCTGGCAGTTGTTGTTCCAGCACAGATGGGAGTTGGACTTGGAGACCTTGTGGAATCCCCTCACAGCAGATATTTTATTTTAAATTCACTTGTGGGTCATGGTGTCCCTGGTTGGCCAGCACTTATTGCCTGTCCTTGGAGGTGGGTGATGAGCTCAAGGGCAACTATGAATGGACAATAAATGCTGGCCATCCAGACACGTCCATTTCTCATGAGTGAATTCACAAGAAGAATTACTCAAGAAATTGAAGATTTCATTTAAATTGGAGAATTCAGCGGGTTCTGATTGAACTTAAGTAAATAAGTACTCAGGAAATTTAGACAATTAAATATGTAGTCTAATTCCTGAGTAAATATTCAACTGACTTTATCTGACAATCCCAAAATACACTTTCTCCAGACCCCTTACAACCCCCTGCCCCTTCCTTTGCTGCTAGAGATGCTTCCCCCTATACGGACATGTTCTGCCCATTTCCCCCCCACCCCCCATTTCAGCACCTGAAGTCACTTTCCCTGCCTCTGGACACAAGATCCTCACCCCGGACCCAACAACCACATTCCCCATCTCTGCAGGAGTCAATATATCCTACCCAGCCCAATGCACCTAAAACACTACATTGATTATCTGCTCATCCTCTTGCCACCTGGTTCCAAATCCATCTGACACCTTAATCCCTTATCTATTTAACATTCCAACTCCTGACACACAATCCCTACCTAAATGGCCCTTGTCATCCTACCTTTCCAAAAGCCTAACACTGCATAGATATTTTTTCAACCTGTTCAGCTGCCTGTTGACACACGTGTAAAGCAGTGGCACTTGAACCTGAGCCTCCCAGCTCAGAGAT